AGTCTTGGCTTGAGTGGGCTGGTGAGGATCCACTCGGAAGATGGCTGGCTCTAATGGCCAACAGCTTGGCCTTTCTGCTGGTCCAGGGCCTCAGTTCCTCACCAGGCAGTGGCAGCATCTCTCCACCGCTGCTAAAGAGTCCTCACAACCTAGAGTTCCCATGCGGCAGCCGTAATGTCACCACGCATAGCCATGTCCGTGGTGCTCCACTCCTCACAGCGTGCTGTGGCTTCCCCCTGCTGCTGTAACAGAACTATTACAAGTGGCTGGTTCTGAAGACCAGAGATGGAGTCTCTCAGCCTAGAAGGCTCAGCAAACCGCACTCTCTGCCATGGAGTCAGTTCTGCCTCACAGAGTCCCCGGAGGACAGGGCCTAACTGCCCGTGTGGGTGTCAGAGATGGTGATCCTTTATGGGAGTAGAGAGCCTCATTTTTCTCCCTTGAAGAGGCTGGTGGTTTTGAACCGCTGACTTTGCCATCAACAGCCCAAGAAGGGACCACGGTGCCACTAGAGCTCCTTTTTAGGAGGCTAAAGGTCTCAGGTCAGGGCCTGGGCTCCCAGAGAACTCTCCTCTCTCTCTCTGATCTCTTTCCACTTCTGGACCTTCCTTGATTCCTTGTCAGTCTCCAGGAGGCCTGTGTCTCCCACTCTGGATTCACTGGTCTCTGTGCCTGATCTGTTCACTTGGTGTCTCAAGAACGAGTAGGTTCACAGGGTGAGGGGTCACGATTCCAACCCCTCCCTGGGGTGGGGTGTGTGTGTGCGCAATTCAGTCCACAGTGCACAATTTTGCCCTGCTGAGTGTGGGCATGAATTCTAGGAGACAGGGCTCGCTGGCATCCTCTGGGAGGCTGACCCCAGCATGCTTCTAGGGGTCCAGAGTGAACACTCCCTAACTGGACCTTTGTGAGGCTGTGCACACGCAAGCAGGGTCAAGTCGAAGGCCAACACCACCTTCACGGAGCATCAGAGAGGTCTCATACTTGGGACCCAGGCGATGGCTGACTCTCTTCATTTCACAAGTCAGAAAACCAGCTCTCGAGCAGAAAGGACAGTGACACTCCCACCCCCACCCCGTCCGCCTCCAGTCCTCTGCTGTACTCGGCTAGCCTGCCAGCACACAGACAGGCGTGCCCGCCAAGTCTGGGCACAGTCCTTTGCCTTAGGGCCATGGCCCCCT